CTCGGGAAGGCTGTGCCACAAGCGTACTTAAAGAGTCATCCTTAGCCTCCCCAGAACCATAGACTGATCTTTGCATATTCCTAAGAGACCACCAGTCCTAGCAGTGCGCAGCACCCGCCATGGAAGGCTCCTCCCGCCTTCATGAGGTGGGGTATAAAATTTCATTAGCACTTGCAGGAGGCATTGAGAAAAACACTCAAGCTACACTCAAAATAATCCCTTCTTTTCTCCTCTACCATTTATTTGTTGGGAACAGCTGTCACTAAGTGCATTACTTGCAGAATTTGACTTTCCTTCTAGTGTTTCAAGAGGCAGCACTTTTTTAGAATATTGACGTGGGCTAGCGAGCAAGAGGAATGAGAATCTCCTCACTACTGCCCCCCTGTTGTCATATTGTTCCAGAGCCACCCCGCCCCCCAACCCGCAGCTCCATATGCACCAGCTAACGAGGTGTTAATGATAACCAGGTGTGGAAACATTTGGCTCTAGCTGCAACTGCAGTCAGACTACTTAAAGCACAATCAAAAACCACTTGTTAGGGAAAATAGTCAACAGCGGCAGCACCTACCTACGTGGCCAACAGGTTACCTAGTTGAGTTGTCCTCATTTATCCCCATCTAAATTGAATCCAATTGTCCATCAGCTCACTGCATTCCAGTTAAATGAATGAGTTTTATCCTTCTTTCTGTAACATTCCTTCACCGGCCCTATGTATCTAGCACTGGCATTGCTTATCATTTATTTCAAAACTTGTTCCAACTGCCTTCCTCATCCAGTTGGTTCACCTTCACTGCAGCTGACCCAGGGTCTCCCTGGGCCCTGGGGGCCTCCCCTAAACTGCATAGGCGGCATGAGGCTTCAACCGGACGACACACCATGCTGGAACAGCAGAGAAAAGGAAGTAACCAATTATACTTTCTTCTGAGGATGAGGCCACAAGAAAGCAAAAGGGCAGGAGGCCTTTTCTTTGAATTGAGAGAAAAAAACAGACTTATTTTTCTATTGCAGTGAATGAGAAAAACACAAGCAGTGTCCTTACTGTGCCTCTTCATGCCTCCCTTCCTCTCTGTCCCTCTTTTACCTCCTCCAGTCTGCAGAATCCTCTCCCACCCTGCCCCCACCCTGAAGTCAGAGGTTTCTTTAGCTATAAAATTCAAGAGAAAATGAACTCTCTCTCTAAGATTGCTTCCAGGTCTAAAATTCTGTGATTCTCTCAGTTCCCTGGAATCAAAAGGACTTAAACCACAACTCTGAAATATAAAAGGACTCTTAAACATGAGTACTGCATTTTTATTCTCCTTTAGTGAGTTGGCTAGAGTGAGAGTTTCAAAGACTGCTGAAGTGGGCCGTGGATGACAGCTCTACCACCTAGACCGTCACATGATCCACTTCTTTCTCCAAGTAATATTTAGGAGCTTACAACCAATGTGCTGTAAAAAGAGATGGGTTTCACACACAATGCTTCCTTCAGGGAATTCCTCCTTAGGGTCTCTTTTAAGGGACTCTCTCTAGTCACTTGGAAATGAAAGCCAACATCCCAGTAAAACATAACGTATCAAAATTCCAAGGCAACCATTGCTCTCTCCCTGCCTCCACCCCTCAGTTCACTAGTCCAAATCATTGGCTTCAAACCCTTCTTACTGCTGTCCACAAAGAGAAATACATTACATTCAGACCCAATACATACACCACATACATACACACAGATAGTTATCACAACTGGAAAAAAATGCAGCACACTCTCTGATTTTCTATTCTTTTTGTTGTTGTTTTTAATGCTAATCACAGCCCACTAAAATCATTTCAGGACCCACTAATGGGCGGCAAACTGTAGTCTGAAAAAACCTGTGCTAGACACAGCTATCCTTGTTTATATTTTAACATCCTTCTAGTTTTCTAAGTTGTGTACTTGAGCAGATCAGCTTTGTAGACTGGCCACACACGAACACAGATTAGCCCTAAAATCAAAATATTTTAGAACAAAGTGAATTCAACATATTCAGTGATCTATAGATCAAGAAAATTAAACACAAATGGTAAGCAATTCAATAAAAGTATTAACTTCTTGAATACCTGGGAGAAAGTGATGCCTTAGGAAAAAAGTTTCTCTACTTTGAGAGAAGATCCTTTGAAAGACAGAAGTTGATCTAGACCAAGGCTGCCCCAGGTAGAGAAGCCCAAGGTGTTCTGGCCTACATGCCTATCTATATGACCTGATGGATTTTATGGTATGAATTAGGGCTGCCCCAGGGAGAGAAGCCCAGGGCATCCTGGCCTACATGCCAATCTATGTGACCAGATTCATATCTAAAGTTATATGACCACACAATAACCAGACCCCATCTACACTGAAACCGTTTAATGACTTTTTACATCATCTTTTCTTTGTCTAGTAAAAATAAGTCACGTACCCATGCCTTATAAATTTAGCCCCAACTCTCAAGACACGGCAGCAGCTCTTCATTGCCCCTGGGTCCTGTCGCCATGCTATTCCATACTATTCTCTGAATAAAAGAGCGCTACTGCCAGACCTTCAGAGTCCAAGAAATCTTTCTTTCGACTCCTTGACTCACTGAGCCCGCATCAAAGTCACTTCACCCCCAAGCTGCTGGCTGAATTACTGGTGTTGCTTTCCTTGGTATAAGTCCTACCTTAATTATTCTGTCTCACTCCTTCTCAGCTAATAAACGTATTATAGTGGTAAGAACAAAATCTTGGGGTAGCATCTTTCTCATTTGGGGTGTGATCACTTGAAAGAAAATACAAGGACCAAATATGAGGAAAATGTGTGGATGCTACGCTACTAAGAGGCATTTCATGACTCCAGTGAGTATTAGGAAGATGATTATTTGCAAAGATAGGGAACAGAAAGGTGAGGAGACTTATGCTGATAAATGAACAAGATTCAACACTACCCTTATTAAGTTTGGGGGTCCCCAAATGCAGGAGGGCTGGAAAAGAGGGCTAGTGTATATTTAAAAGATGTTTCAGGAGGTGCTAATTCAGAGGAACTCACTTGGAAGCTAAGTGACTTCCTTTTTCTTTTTCTAAAATAGGGGCCGGCCCTATTTTAATCATCTTTAAGTGTACAATTTGGTGGCATTAAGTGCATTCATAATGTTTGTAATCATCACTTCTGGGGCTGGCCCCGTGGCCGAGTGGTTAAGTTCGCACACTCTGCTTTGGCAGCCTGGAGTTTCACTGGTTCAGATCCTGGGCACGGGCATGGCACTGCTCATGAGGCCATGCTGAGGCGGGGTCCCACGTAGCACAACCAGAAGAACCTACAACTATATACCTGGGGGCTTTGGGGAGAAGAAGAAGGACAAAAAAGGATTGGCAACAGATGTTAGCTCAGGTGCCAATCTTTAAAAAAAAAATCACCACTATCCATTTCCAGAGCTTTTTAATCATCCCAGACTGAATTCTGTACCCAATAAGCAAGAATTCCCCATTCTCCAGCCCCTGGTAACCTCTATTCCACTCCGTCTCTATGAATTTGCCCATTCTAAGTCCCTCATGTACGTGGAATCATACAATATTTGTCTTTTTCTGTCTGCCTTATTTCCCTTGCTCGCAATACCTTTTAATCCACATCTTTTCTCCTTAGGTAAGCCAGAGCTAAGTGATTTTTTTAAAGGGGCTCAGGAAAGCTTTATGACAATGAGATTATAGGTGCCTGACGTCATGGGAACCAAGTAAAGGAGCATTCATCTCTCCAGAACTCAGCTTCCTGCAACCTACCTAAACAGAGCATAGCCGAGAACCAGGGCCAGCGTTCAAAAGGCGGCCTGACATCCCACAACTAGAAGGACGCGCAACTAAGATATACAACTGTGTAAGGGGGGTGGGGGGGTTGGGGAGATTGGCAACAGTTGTTAGCCCAGGTGCCAATCTTTAAAAAAAAAAAAAAAAAAGGTGGCCTGACAAACAAAATGCTGGTTCCAGGGCCATGCCCTGAGGAGGACGCAGCACACTCACAGGAGGACTGACCAGGCCCTCACTTTTATTCTTACATTACACATACTTCTAACAAGCTCCTGAAGTTTCCAATCTCGTAGCATTTTCGAAACAGCGTATTAGAATGAGAGGAACTAGGAGCTGCTATAAGCAGGCTCGCTGGCAGCAAGAAGTGATTGCAAGGAAGAGGAAAAAGCTCTCACTCACCTCGGAAGGCCATCAGCCGTCACTGCCTTGCAGCATGGTAGAACTGATACTCAAAATGATAATCTCGAATAATCCATCCATTTATTCAACACGCTGCGCATGAATCCAGGCACTGTGCGAAGCACTGTGGAGAGTGCTTAATACAGCTCAGTGCTTGCCAGGCAAGGGCTCCATTAGGATTGTAATTCTTTAAGAGAGACTCCCACTATTTCTCCCAATGTTGATGTTCTTTTAAGTTTTGAATTCTGGGTAAGGGGTAACTGTACGTGAATTTCACTTTTACAAAACAGCCACTTGGAGCTGCCTGCTGCCCGGTGAATACCGAAGACATCCTGTTTTCCCTGATTCCACCCAGGTGTTCATGCTTGGCTGAGAGCATGTGTGGGAGAGAACAAAGAAAAAGCTACAGTGTTAGAATATAAAGCATCTTCAATAAGAGAATGAGCATCCAGAGAAAAGAGGTTTCGTTGTTCAGGGGGTGGGGGCTGGGAAAGAGGGCTGGGAGCGAACCATTTGGTCAGAATCTTACAAGAAAGTAGCTCACGTGTGAAAGCACGCTGGCAGAAGTTAGCCAGGGCATTAAATTCGTCCCTCTAGCTGTGTCTCAGAGCCTCACAGAGGCTCCATGTGCCTCTTATAACCTGCACTGGGACTCTGTTACTTGACATACCTAATAGTGCGTGATGCCTTTTCTGACCAACATGCCTTTGGGATCGGGTGCAAACATTTCTCTCTGGCTTCTGCATGGAGGCTGCCCACCCTGTGAGGCTGAGCAGGCCCGGTTCTCCATGCCCTCCCTGAACTGGCCCCTTTTTTTTTCTCCCCGGCTATAGCACACTGTCCAAGTGCTGCCACGCAATGGTGGCAGTCATCTACCCCTTCACCTGGCAGCACACCTACATCCCCGTGCTCCCGCCCGCCATGATTGACATCGTGTGCTCGCCAACCCCTTTCCTCATCGGGCTGCTCACCAGCTCACTGCCGCTGCTCAGGGAGCTGCCACTGGAAGAGGTGAGCTCCAGGGATGTCCCTGTTCCCTCCCTGTTGGGGGCAGAGGGCAAAGGGGAGGTGCCGGCTAAGTCTCTGCAAGCAAGCAGTGTCAGGGGAGTGCCCCGGGGTGGGGAGCCCACAGCTTTGTGTATGAGATAGCCCCCGCCCCCAACCCGGAGCCGGCCTCAACTGACCCTTGGGACTGCAAACACGGTTTTCCCCTCCAAATGAACCTACTGTTGTGAACGCCCATTGAGAAGGGCAGCAATCAACAACTTAACCAGATGTTAAAATACTTAATCCTTAAATAGCCATCCACCCTATCCTTCCTTCCCTCCCACTCACAACAGGGGAGAAAGCACACAAAGAGCTAACAATAACTGGAATTTATATTTGGACTAGTAACAAAGTTGATAAAGACTGCGCTCCTACAAATAGGTCCTTTTTCATAGCAATTAAAAAGACAACCACCAAAATGTTTTTCATGATCAAGTTCCAGGTTTTCAGGTTTGTATCCAAGTGGGAAAAGTCCTACTGGGCATTTCTGTAGGTATTTAGTCCCAGCTCCTAACTCTAAACAGTCTCTATGCCCGTGTACTGAGAACTCCAGCAGTCAGAGAGGGAACCAGGGGACTAAATCATGCCAGTTCCTCCTGAAGCCCTGGGGAGCACCTGTCCCTGAAATTCAACCCAGGACCCCCTCCAGATGGGGCTCAACTAATTGCCCAGGTGGTCCGAAGTCCCATTAAATATTAGCCAGCACACCCAGGTCTTTGAATGTGGGCTTGTGAACTGCAAGGAGTTTGTCTGGGTACCGCGTGATCCCTAAAACAGCTCAGTTCAACCCCAGGAGGGTTTGAGAAGGAAGGAGAGAGCCCCCTCAGCTCCTGGGCAGGGTCTCTGAGATGAGTTAGAGCCCCTGTTTCCAGCTGTTGGTAGAAACATGGTGGCCATCCAGGCCCCCTGCTCTTCGCCCGTCATAGCCAGTGGCCTGAGTGAGGGTCTTACACTCAGGTCTTGCAAGCAAAGGCCCAGCACTTGCCTGACCCCACAGTGAGTGCCTCCTAAGTTTTGCACCCTAGCATCTCACTTGCCCAACCCTGTGTCTTAGCCCCTCTCTGAAGAGGGAGGGGGCAGTTGCTGTAGCCTGAGAGCCTTGACCAATGAAAGCCCAGCACCTGCAGCTTGATTTACTCTCCAGGTGGATCCTGGTGATCACTCCTCTGAGTTTCTCCCCTTCTATCCTATTAAAAAAAATGCCAAGGCTGGGTGGGCGGCTGAGAGGAAGGAGCAAGAAGCCCTGGGGTTGAGGAGGGACAGAGTCACGTGGGACGGGAACAAGTGGGCCTCTAGCATCTTTCGCCCATCTCCGTAACCCACGCACTAGAACAGCAGTCTGAGAGGCTCTGCCTTAGCCAGTTCGGGACGGGGCAAGGAGTCCGGCCTGCAGCACACATGTGCCCAACCTGCTGTTTCAGTGTTGAATGCATGTAGTTCAGGAAAGTTCCTGCCCCCCACCTCTTCTCTTCATCATTTGTGGCTACAGTGGCAATGTCAGGAAACCAAAAGTGGCCCACTCCACCCCCACCCAGCTGGCTCTCTGGGTGACAAGAAGGACAAAGGCTAGGAGTCCATCACCATCTCCCAGAAACCCTGATGACAATAACAGTCCCTCTTCCTCGTCTTGTAGGTCCTTGTGGTCGACCTCGTCAACAGTCGGTTCCTCAGACAGGTGAGTAGGAAAGCCAACTTCCACCCGTGGCGCTCTCTCTGTTTGCACCTCTCTGTTGTTTGGGCCTCTGCTTTCTGGCTCTGGAAAGGCTCCTTGGTGGGCCTAAAAATGCAGGCCAGGCTTGGGCCAGGCTGAGGGTGAGACAGAAGGCAGGCCGAAGAGCAGGGGCTTGGGCAAAGGATTGATTCCCACGTGTTCTGTCACAAAATGGCTTGCCAGCAATTAGAATTTTTGTGTAGGTTATAACTATAGACATTTGTCTTTTTCAGTATGCTTTTAAAGAATATTTGATAACAAAGGTCATGATTATTAAGTAGAAAAGATCAGGATACAAAATTATATACATTATTTTGCTGATCTTGTTTTCTAAAAAAGAGAAAAAGAGAAAGAGGTGTGTGTATATATGTGTGTGTATATATATATATACACATACACACCTCTAAAAAAGATTGAAAGGGAAACTCACCAAAACATTAATGCTGGTTGTCTTGGGGCGGAAGACTGAAAGGGAGACAGATTATGAATGATTTTAAATTGTTTTAATACTTTCATGTAGTTTCCATAATGATCATAAACTAGAGCTTCCATGGTCAGAGAAAGGAATACACATTTGCTTTCCTGTTATCACTTGCGGAGAGGTCTAACTACTATCAGCTCTTGCAAAGAATCATCACAGAAAGGTTTTCTGGGCGCTCGGAAGGGCTGCTTTAAACTTGGAGTTGTCACACTGCTGAAAACTTCTGTCATGTTTTTTATCACTAGTTCCCTGGACTTTCACTTCCCCGAGGCACTCCTGCCCTGAGGCCCAGATCATAAAGCCAGTGTGATCACTCTAGTCCTCTGCCCTGACCAGAGTCCCCTGATTGGCACTAGCCACCCTACAGGGCGGGGGCAGTAGGAAACTTTTATTGAGTAACCACTACGTGCCAAGCCCTTTCCCAAAGTAATCGTATTGCATTTAATCTTTCCCCCCAGCTTTATTGAGATGTCATTGACAGATAACGCATGTAAGTTTAAGGTGTACATGATGATTTGATATACGTGTATACTGTGAAATGACTACACAATATAGTTAATTAACACCTCCATCCCCTCATATAATTACCGTTTTGTGTGGTGATGACATTTCAGATCTACTCTCTTAACAGCTTTCAAGAATATAATATAGTCTTGTTAAATATAGTCACCTTGCTGTACGTTAGATCCCCAGAATTTGGTCATTTTATAGCTTGACAGTTTGTACACTTTGACCGACATTTCTCCATTTCCCCCACCCCCCAGCCCCTGGCAGCCACCATTCTACTCTCTAGTTCTGGGAATTCGGCTTTTTTAGATTGCACATACAAGTGAAGACATACAGTATTTGTCTTTTTCTGTCTGACTTTTTCACTTCGCATAATGCCCTCAAGGTCCATCCATGTTGTCACAAAAGGCAGGATTTATTTTTTATGGCTGAATAATATTTCATTGTGTGTGTGTATGTATATATATAATCACGTTTTCTTTATCCATTCATCCATCGATGGACACTTAGGTTGTTTCCATGTCTTGGCTATTGTGAATAATGCTGCAATGAACATGAGGGTACAGAAATCTCTTCAAGGTAGTGATTTCACTTCTTTTGGACCCAAAAGTGGGATTACTGGATCCTATGGTAGTTCTATTTTTAATTTTAGGGGGAAATTTCTTACTGTTTTCCATAGTGGCTGCACCACTTTACATTTCCACTAACAGTGCACAAGGGTTCCCTTTGCTTCTGTGCCTCACCAGCACTTGTTATCTCCTGTCTTCTTGATAATAGTCATTATAACAGATGTGAGGTGATATCTCATTGTGGTTTTGATTTGTATTTCCCTGATGACTAGTGATGTTGAGCACCTTTTCATGCACCTGTTAGCCATTTGTATGTCTTCTTTGAAAAATGTTCTTTGCCTATTTTTAATCAGATTGTTTAGGCTTTTTTCTTTTGCTGTTGAGATGTATGAGTTCCTTATATATTTTGGTTATTAACCCCTTAGCAGATATATGGTTTGCAAATATTTCCTCCCCATCCATAGGTTGCCTTTTCATTTTGCTGACTGTTCCTTTCCCTGTGCAGTTTTTTAGTGTGATGTAGTCCTACTTGTTTATTTTTGCTTTAGTTGCTTGTGTGTTTGGTGTCGTATCCAAAAAAATTGTTGCCAAGACCAATGTCAAAGACATTTTATGTTTTCTTCTAGTAGTTTACAGTTTCTGGTCTTCCATTTAAGTCTTTAATCCATTTCAAATTAATTTTTGTGAGGTGTAAGATAGGGGTTTCATTCCTTAGCATGTGGATATCCAGTTTTCCAAAACCATTTATTGAAGAGGCCATCGTTTCCCCATTGAATATTCTTAGCTCCCTTATCAAATGTTAGTTGACTATATATGCATGGGTTTATTTCTGGGCTCTTGATTCTATTCCATTGATCTACTTGTCTGTTTTTATGCCTATGCCATACTGTTTTGATTACTATTGTTTGTAATAGAGTTTGAAATTAGGAATTGTGATGCCTCCAGCTTTGTTCTTCTTCCTCAGGATTGCTTTGGCTATTCAAGGTCTTTTGTGGTTCCATACGAACTTTAGGATTATTTTTTCTATTTCTGTGAAAATGCTATTGGAATTTTGATAGGGATTGCACTGAATCTATAGATGGCTTTAGGTAATATGGGCATTTTAACAATATTGATTCTTCCAGTCCATCAACACAGGTTATCTCTCCATTTATTTACATCTTCTTCAATTGCTTTCATCAGTGTGTAATATATTGCATTTAATCTTCACAATGAGGTAGGTATTGATTGGTAACCTATTTTACAAATGGGGAAACTGAGGCTCACATAGCTTGTAAAATGTAGAATCAAGATTCAAACCTCAGACCACCTGCTCTACGTCGAGTTCCTTCCACTAAATCGGGAACTGTGCCAGGCCCGCCCTGCGGTGGTCTATCCAGTGTGTCCTGCTGGCTGGGATGCAGCCACCATCTCAGAAGCACTGGGGTGATGGCCCAACTGTTTTTCTGCTTTACAGATGGATGATGAGGATTCCATTCTGCCCCGGAAGCTTCAGGTAGCCCTGGAACACATTCTGGAACAGAGGAATGACCTGGCTAGTGACCAGGATGAAGGGCTCCCGGACTACAAGCATGGTAAATGCTCAGCTACCTCCCAACCTGCATCTCCCTCTGCCATCATTCAAGTCAGCGAGCAAATGGACCATGGCCATCCATTCTACTTGGCATTGGGTTAAGTAGGAAAATGGGCAAGAGAGGCATGCAAGGAGAGAGACTGGGTGCTCAGTCTCTTTATTTGGATCTCATTCTAACTATTTTGGCCCTAAAATGTCTGTTTAAGGTGGGGGAGAAATGGTTCAATAACTGGGTAACCTTCTTCATGCATCATTACCGTTTGCCCTCGAGGGAGCTAGCAGTTACTTTTGTTACTCATTGGCTGTCTCAGAGGTGCTGCCTCAGCCCATTGCCCTCACCAGTCTGGCCCTTCCCCACTTTGCTCAGGCCCCAAGTCCAGCCCCTTGAACGAGGTGGTGTCTGAAGCCTTCGTCCGCTTCTTCGTGGAGATCGTGGGCCACTACTCCCTGTTCCTGACGGCAGGCGAGCGCGAGGAGAGGACCCTGCAGCGAGAGGCCTTCCGCAAAGCTGTCTCTTCCAAGAGCCTCCGTCGGTTCCTGGAGGTTTTCATGGAGACCCAGATGTTTCGAGGCTTCATCCAGGAGCGAGAGCTGCGCCGGCAGGATGTCAAAGGTTAGGGGGCATCTTCCATGTTGGGGGCTGAGGTGGCTATAGATGCCCAGACCCCCAGGGGCTGAGGAGCAGGGAGAAAGGTCACAGGGCCAAGGCACAGATGGGAGCAGCATTCTGGCCTCCTCTGGAGAATGTTCCTTCTTGCCACCTCTGAGCTGGTGAAAACTGCCCTTGATGTCCTGCCTGTTTCCTCGAGCTGTCTCTTTCCCATCTACTAGCCTCTCCCAGAACCACAGTCCAGGTTCTGGTGGCAGGTTTGACTTTTGTTCCATTCTTTCCAACTTGATGAAACTCTCAAGGACACCCTTTCCTTCCTCTCTCTGTGGCCCCTCTTCTCCTTTTCCTGAGACCTCCTCTCGTCCCTTCTGCCCTTCTTTCCTGCCCCTCTCCACCAGGGGGAGGCGGGGAAACTAGCAGGCAGGAGCCGGTTGGGATGGGATAGAAGAGGGGAGGATGGCCCTTGTCCTCTGCTTGGTGTGAGCGCCTTCTGACGCCCAGCTGGGCTGGCCATGGGGGAGGGAGGACAGCAGCAGACTCTCCCCAACCTGGGGGGCTTGTGGTTCGTGTCGCCATGGAGACCACCCATTCACCTCCCTCCCTGTCTCTTCTCTGAGTTCTTTTCTCTCCTACCTTCTCTCTGTCCCTATCTGCTGGGTTCCATTACACTTCTAGGGTCGGGGGGGGGGGGGGTGAGAAAGGAGGATGAAATCACTCCGGTCTCTTTCTTACAATACGTTAAGCCCTTTTGTGAATCTGAAAGCTAGAAATGTTGGTAAAGGCTGTTACAGATGGGAGTCAGATCTGGGAAGGGGAGAGATGCTTACCACTGAGGGGCGGCCACACAGCGACCAGGGAGGATCCCCAGGGAGCAGCGGGCCTCACGCCTTGGTGTTCTCTGGTGCTGTGATCGCAGACACTAAGTTAAGGAACCAAAGCCCTGCATTCCCAGAGCTCTTTACAAAGCAAAGCCAGAGGCTGGCCACGCCTCTGATGAGTGGTATCTGAAGAGACAGAAGAAAATTGGTTAGCAAGTTTGAGTCCCACAACTCCTGAGGATACACATAAATGTCTGTTTACAGATCCCTATTTGATAGCAAGGTCAGAGACATAAAGGCTTCAAAGTAGCCTGGAAGGAGCCCTCTGTCCATGGAAGATCAGTGAGAAATGAAGACAGAGTACCTGAGGCCCGGCCCCTAGGGCTTAGAGCTGAAGGCCCCTGAGAGGTGGCCTGTCCAGCCTTCCTGAGTGCACAGACAGCAGACAGATTCCCAGGAAGCTAAACCACTTGGCCAGGGTCCCTCTTATGGGAGAATGTGAGGAAAAGGGAGAGTGAAGGAGCTCCTAAGAGCCAGGACTGTCTGGTTCGTTTTTGAAACTGCGTGCCTGGCACAGTGTAGGCTCTTGGAAGGTGTTTGTTGAATAAAAACAGGATTTTGTGTGCAGGCTAGCTTTACAGCTTTCCAAAGACAGTTACTGCAAAGGTTGGGCAATTATAAGGGCAATAAAAACTCTTATAAACCTTATGATTCAGGGTGTGTTTATAGGAGCAGCTCGTCTCAGAAGCAAGGGTTCCCTTTTCTGTGGCAGTAAGGAAATGGATCTGTTTAGAAGCGCAAAGAGAAGGAACTCAAATAGCTGGGATTTCCTTGTCCGCAGGTCTATTTGAGGTCCGAGCCCAAGAGTACCTGGAAACACTCCCCAGCGGAGAACACAGTGGTGTCAACAAGTTCCTCAAGGGACTAGGTAAGGCCCAGGGGTCTTGGGCCCCGTCAGCAGCCTCTGGTCCGTGGGGTCTTGGCCAGTTCCCTCCACTGGATCAGGGGCCTAAATAGCAGAGCTCTGCGGCCTGCACTGGGCCGGCTAAATGGGCATTTTAACCTCCTGTTCTAATCTGTCCCCAAAGTGTAAACAAAGGACACAGCTTCCCTGGGCCCCTCGGTTATCTTGCTGTCTTCTTTCACTATTATCTCCCCAACACTTAACTCTTCTGGGGAATTGAGTTTAGGAAGCATAGTGAATGGAACCAGAGGAGAGTGTTGGGCAATAAAGATCTGGACCAGCCTCCAAATGCCCCTGAAAAGGGGAAATGTAAGAATTCTAAGGACTAAAGTTCAATCAGTGAAAAGGCCATGCCTGGAGAAGAGAGGAGGAGAAGAAGAAAGCAAAGGAGGAATGAGGGAGCAGGTCCCGGTGAGGAGGAGCCTGCGGCGGGGAGGAGGGCTCGGAGAACCTGCAGGGGGTACCCTTGTGCCTCACGCAGGAGGGGGGCCGCTTGGGAAGGGCCCTCCTATCCACCCTGCTGGGACTTCTCTCCTCGCTTGGCTCCTCCGGGACGTGTTACATCTGTGCGTCCTGTATCACCGTTTCAGAAGCAATGTCCACAGCTCTGTCAGTCTTCCTTTCAAAATTCCCAAGTCTGAGGAAGATCCCTCTTCACTGGGGAGGTGCATGAGGAGGGCAGGGGGCAACGCTAGGAGGGCAAATTTCACCCCTGCCCCCGGTTTCTCCTGAGCACTAGGATGAGGCTCCAGGGGTGGCCTGGGAGGCCACAGTTGTCCACACCACATCTGGGGTGAAAAGGGCAGAATTTAACTCAGCCCTCTGCCTGGTGAAATGTTCTCATTTTCTTTTTTTAGGCAATAAAATGAAGTTTCTCCACAAGAAATAACCCTCAGCTCAGCCTCAAGGAAAACTTCCTCCTAATGCAACCGCATGTCTTAAAAACAGTCCTGGTGGCCTTTCTGAAACGTTGGGTCCTTGGTTGTCCCAGGTGCTGGGATGAAGGGCAAGATGGTTTCCGACCACCACTGGGCCCTCCCAGGACCCAGGGCCCCAGAGCTGCCCAGAAGGTGCCGCTTCTTCAGAACAGCACTGGAAAGGGGACCAAGACCAGGCATGTCACTGACACCCAAATGGATTGTTTTGATTGTTGGTTTTTGAATTTTCAATTTTTTTAACCTTAGATATTAAAAAAAAGAAAAGTATTTGGGTTTTCTTTTTATTATGACAGAGATAAGAACACTCTCTCCTGCCCTATGTCATCTTTCTCTGGTTCATCCTGCCTGGCAGTTGGGCTCTGGATCCAAGAGGAGCTGGGGAGATGGGAAGAAGTGGCAACCAGGGACTTAGAACTGTGGCACTGCCCTGGGCAGAACTGGGCACAAATGCGGCGGGTGTGAGGGGAGGAGGGTATGGCGGCTCCTGCAGACACTCGTGCCCACAGGTTTCTGGGCGTGAGTCCTCTTGGGGAAAGGATTGGCCCAGACGTGGAGTGAAGTCAGATCTGGGCTGAAAGGAAGAACAGGAACATTAGAAGGATTTGACTTCCTGGGATGAGCTGTGCTTCCAGACTGGCCAGTGATGCCACCTGGTGGCCAAGGCCATTTGTTGTCCTGCCACAGACTCCTCTCTCCCAAATGGACCTGACTCTTCTGGGCTGCCTCTTTTCTCTTAGAAGCCATAGAACCATCCACTGCCCAAGCAGTCCGTGACTTTTAGAGGTACGCACAAAAAGAGGAAATCTCCTTGTAAGATTTGTTCATAAAATATTCTTGGGGTCCTAAAGTTTATGATGATGCCCCGAGCCCACCTTGAAACATGTAAGCCACTGCTTTGACCCCATTCCCATTTATACCATCTGAAATATTCCATCTCATTGTAGGGACCTAGAGCTGCATAAATGAACTAGTACACATGCCGATTAAACGGAGGGGCTTTAGTTGTTGATGTTAACAAGAGGGAGCATCAAGAGAGGACAGCTTCCTTCATTCGACTTGTGCAGACAGCAAGGTGGCTCACCTCCTCTGGGCCGGAAGCAGGGGGTGCAGGAGAAGGCTGCACTCTGAGCGCTGTCCTGCAAGGGGCGCAGTGGGAGGAGGAAGAGAATGGTGGGCAGCACAGGCGAGTTCTCGGAGCAAGCCTCGGGCCACCACGGCGGCCGAACCGCTGCCTCATGTTCACTGGTCCCTCCGGATGGCACCAGCAACCCCGACCAAAACACACTAAAGGATGTGCTCTGACCTTGGCAATGGCCCAGCAGTTATGCCTTCTGGAAGCAGTTCTCAACCTTTAAGGGGGTTGGGAGCAAGGGGATCTTCTGAGGAAAAAGCAGAAAATGAAGAAGAGGTTGACCTTTTTAATTGGAGTCATGGACCCCCCATCCCACTTCCCGCCAAATTGTGTCCAAGATTTGGGGAGAGGATCTATCGTTTACATCAGATTCTCAAAGGGGTCCGAGACCCTCCAAAATAGTAAGAACCAGACTGTGCCTAAAAATTAACCTGGGTAGGTGTTTGTGTTTGGGGATTGGGAATGAAGACTGAATGAAAATCTCTGAGTGTCAGGACTCAGGAATTTGTACCCAATAAGCTCCTCAGATTAGTTGACTTTACTAGTACCAGTATTCTGCATATTTTTATATTGCCCAGAGATGGTCACTTTTAATATTTTGGAATGTACTTTCTCTTCTAACTTATTTCATATTGTTAACACCTCCAAGTGAATAAATGTGCATCTTTATCAATATTTCTAACAGTTGTATAATATTCTATTTTATAGATATACTAAAAGTTATTTTACCAATCTTCTACTCTTATGCATGCAGGATATTTACAATTTTTAATATCATAAAGAGCATTGAGAAAAGAATCTTTGCACAAGTATCTTAGCACATTTGCCCTACTTTAATTTTTGTTCACAGTAAAATATAGATACAGAAAATTGCTCAGATCGTGAGTATACAGGCCGATAAACTTTCACAAATGACCACGTCTGTGGAACCAGCACCCAGGGCAAGAAACATAACATCGTTGGATCCAGCCTGCCTTCCCAACCTCCCTCCCATCCTACTTTGTGGATGTTTTCGCTAAATGAACTAACAAATTGTCTACAGCTTGCCTAGTGGTAAGTTAGGCTGGGGAGGGGCAGAGGCAAGAGGAAAACGTAGAGTTGAGGTCCCTGCTCACGGTCTAGGGCACATTCTTGATGCTCGTGCTGTTTGGGCTCAGAAACAAAGTGTGGCTCTAAAGCTTGGGTGTGCTAGACCAGATCGGGCCACTCAGCCTCTGTGTCTTGCCTCACACCAACCACTCTGTCCAAGAACCAAGTCCCGTAATTCCAACAAAAAGCACCCATTCCCCATAAAGAAAGTACATGTTTAGACTTCCGTCCCTGTGTTTCACTTCATGGTGAATCACATGGTCATGAAACACGGTTGGAGCGGTGTCGTTGAGTGGATTTTATTGCTGTGGAAGATGGGAGACACTGGGGGGGCAGGGAAGGGGTGAGTGGGAGCAGGTACGGCAGGTGTATCTTGGTAAGGGCCACAGGTAGCGAATCTGAGGGAGGGGGCAGCCATCACCACTGCTGGAACGAGGAAGAATGAATTCTTAGAAATTATCACAAAAACCTCTTAGCACTCACACAAAGAATAGCGATAAGAGCTGTTGTTTATTGAGCATTTCTTTTACCCATCACTGTGTTGAGTTTAAGACGTGTGCTATTTGATCACCAGAATGTAAGCTCCATGAGGGCGGGGACTGTGTCCATCACGTTCACTCCTGAATTCCCAGAGCCTAAAACCAGTGCCCAGCACAGAGTAGCCTCTAACTAAATGTTTGTTGACCAAAGAATTCCCACGACAGCACTACGAGTGGCACTGTGTCTGTCGCGGGCAGCGGGTTCACTGGGGATGGATGCAGACCCCACAAAGTCGAAGGAATACTTTATCGAGGGGAGCCGGCCTGTCTGTTGACTGTAACAGCCATTCCTGGCATCTCAGAAGGTTTGTTCTCAGCACCAAGCACCTACCTAGAAGACACATTAATAATCAGAAGGTTGCTTGGTGAGTCTGAAGTGAGAGCAAACGGCATTGGAAAGTCTGAGGGGACATCTCCCCAGGAGGGGCGGGAAGCCCGACAGACTTCACCCACCCAGGAGGGCCTGTGTCCCCGGGGAGTGCTTGATAACCCTGCTGGCTCCTCCATCCTTGGCACCCCCTGCCCCATTTCTTTTCTTTTCCTTTTTATTTTATTGGGGTGAAATTCAAATAACATAAAAATCATTTTAAAGTAAACCATTCAGTGGCATTTAGTCCATTCACAATGTTGTGCAACCACCAAAAACATTTTCATCACCCCAAAAGGAAACCCCAAACCCATTAAGCAGTTACTCCCATTCCCTCCTCCCCCCAGCCCCTGGCAACCCCTATCTGTTTGCTATCTCTATGGGTTTACCTATTGTGGGTATTTCATATTAACAAAGTCACAATGTGTCACCTTTTTTGAGTGTGTGTGAGGAACACTGGCCCTGAGCTAACATCTGTTGCCTATCTTCCTCTTTTTTTTTTTCCTCTTCTCCCCAAAGCCCCAGTAGAATAGTTGTGTATTCTAGTTGCAAGTCATTGTAGTTCCTCCATGTGGGAGGCTGCCACAGCATGGCTTGATGAGCGGTGTGTAGGTCCCCACCTGGGATCTGAACCCGCGAACTCTGGGCCACTGAAGCAGAGCACATGAACTTCACCACTCGGCCCCAGGGCTGGCCCCTACAATGTGTCGCCTTTTGTGTCTGGTTTCTTTCACTTAGCATAGTGTTGTCAAGGGGCTGGTTTCTTTCACTTAGCATAGTGTTGTCAAGGTTCGTCCCCATCAGTAGCCGTGTATGAGTACTTTGTTCCTTCTCTGTCTGCATGACATTCCATTGTATGGATATACCGCACCTTGTTTGTCCAGTCATCCCGCAGGGGACAGGTTGGTTACGCCTTTTGGCTATCATGAACAGCGCTGCTAGAAACATATGTGCATGTATTTGAGTAACTGTTTTCAGTTTCTTTGAGTATATACCTAGGAGTGGAATTGCTGGGTCATATGGTAATTTCTACATTTAAATTTCTGAGGAACCATCAAACTGTTTTCCACAGTGGCTGCACCATTTTACACTCCCACCTGCAATGTATGAGGGGCAACCCCTTTCTTATCCTCCCTTCCTTTCTTCTGACAGGTTCCAGCTTTCTTAGCTCTATGCATCACCTCCCAGCCCCACCTCTCAGAGAGGACCCCATGTTGCCACCACCTGCATCAGATTGGCCTGGGATACCAGTGTGAAATGCAGATTCCTGGCATTCACTTTGACTTCTCTGGGGCTAAGGCCCTAGGACCTTGATTGGCTTGGAGTTCCCCGAATGTCTCCAAACCTTTACAGGCCTCTGTCTTAGGTGACTCACTTCTTCAGGTGATCTCCTCCCTCATATGCAAATTCTCCCGTTTCACTGACAGACAGTCATCTTAGGGCAGAGTTTTGGAAATAAGACTTTTGCACGCATGCCCTGAGTTCAGCATTACTTAAGAGCTTCCAAAATGCTTTGAAGAATACAAACATCGATGAAGTGGGTGTAAGCTTGCAAGGGGCCACACCCGTTTGAGCAGATCAAAACTGGTGAATTCAGGTTTTTTGATAAAAGGACCCATTACTCTAGTTTCCTTGGATAGGCTTGAAAGGAAACCCAAGGCAATATAGGTTAGACCCCAAAAAGTCCTGAGGAGAGATTGCTGTGGGGCAAAGTCAGAGGGGGCAAGGTGGGCGGGAGCTGGAGGCAGGCTCAGACTTCCTAGGGAGTTGCTGTGAGCTGAGAGTTCAGAGCCAGACTTAGGCGGACAGGAGGGGCTGAAACAGGCAGAGGAGGAAGGCCCAGCACAGGTTAGTAAGAAAAGCAACAGGCAGGTGCGAGGGGCCATTTAACAGCTGGCACCTGTTAAGGCCAATGACCTTCACTTCCTGGCTTCCAGTGACCACACCTTGTCCTCACCCCACTCCTGTGTGGGGTTCAGCTGCCAACCTCTACCTTCTTTCTGGCTACAATTCACAGCAGCCTGTTGCTAACGTCCCGGCAACAGGCCAGAGAGCAGAGTCTCTCCCTGTTGATCCACCCCAGGCTCCTTCCCTGCCCCTCTTACTCATCTCTGCCTGCAGCCTTCACCCCTCTCCACCCACCCTACTCTTAAGAGCACACAGGCCCTGCAACCAAACCCCGGGGCAGCTTGTCCTCTCCCCTAAAGCTAATTTCCTTACCCCCATGGGCGGAATGTGGACTGGGTGGTTTTTCTGGCAGATTGCTCCAGATTCACAGCAGACCCACGCTTCACTCTCACCAGGCCCTGGACAGGTGTGAAAGGGCTTATCCGGTGGGGCTCCGGGTGGCAGCAGGACCTAACAAGCCGGGAGGCAGCAGGACCTAACAAGCTGGGAGGCAGCAGGCCAGGAGTCCAGTGGAGGGGCAGTGCCTGCGGGCAGAGCGAGCAGACCGAGTCCCGAGCCCCAGGACCTGGAGCTTAGCTTGGGTCTCGGGGCAGAGGCTGCTTTTCTCCCCTCTCTGCCTTGGTGTATCGGGCCTGGGGAAGCTCTGGGCAAGAACAGAGGCAGCACAGCAGCCCTGCCCCCAGGTGAGGGTTAGCTGCTGGGGGAGGTAAGTCAGTGCCCTTCTCAGCAGCGTGAGGTCCATCGGGCCCACGTCCTTGCTTCTGGCCAGCCAGATAGCCCCTCGAGGCCAGTCAAGCCCTTGCTCTGTGAAGAGATGGGGCTGTGGAAGCAGAGTGAAGCCAAAGGCTGCCCCATATCTCAAGATAGGGGCACTCGCTCTCTGGGGGAACAAGTCAGGTAAGGGCTGGGGCAAGCCAAGCCGGGCCAGCACCGTCCTGCACTTTCTAGCCGTGTCAAAATACTGCTCTTTAAAAACAAAAAACGGGTGACGGTTGCACAACAATGTGAATGTACTTAATGCCATTGAACCGTGGTTTAAATGATTCATTTTGCTTTAAGTACCTGTTACCACACACACGCGTGCGCACACACAAAAACCTCACAGCAATAGTGTTGCAGTGCCTTTATATTCCAGTGCGATTATTTTAACCTTGGGCATATATGATGCACACGTGGATTTCTATAGGATAAATGCCAGCTTCTTCCCCCGTGCAGTTGTTTCCTCCCATTCCACGGGTATCCATCGTAAAAGTACTTCCTACTAAATCTACTGCTAAAGTTATATATATTCCTCTTAAAACTTTGTTTCCTTACTATTCCAGGGCTGGTCCGGGAAATTGTGAAGGAATTCTTTGATGCCTTCCTCCAAGGTTTAGGAATGACAAATGGAGCCTTAGGACAACGCTGGCCCGACAGAAGTTTGCTAAACCTGGTCTTCCCTCTCCCGTCTGCTCTCTCTGACTCAGCTCCAGCTCCTCTCTCCTTCTGGCCCCCGAACTCAGCCTTCCCTTCCCTCGGGGCCTTGAGACAAGCTACCTGGCTGTGGCAATGACCGTTTAAGGAGTGACCCCTACAAGGCATTTCTGTTTCAACGGCTGACTCTTGAGCCGTAACCCCCAAAAGTGTGGATGGCAGTGCCGAGACTGGCGGTTAGGGGGTGCTATCACTCAGATGGGGCCTGCCCTGAATATTAGCCCTTGATTTGCCACCCCGCTCCCTGCCTGACCCCAGCAGGTTCCCCGCCACCCAAACCCTCCAGCGTCTGAGAAACA